GTTTGCTGGGGGATATAATATATATTTATTATTTCATATCAGATTTCCCCCAAGAGCAGAAAATTCAGCTGTAGGCTTTGCTCTTCATCGTTATATTTTTTTTGCAAATTGCTCTGTGGGACTTGAAAAATTACTGAGAGGCTTCTGCTCAGAGGAAAATAAAGCTCAGGGATATTGAATTAAGATGGGAGATGATTCTCCATCTTTACTTCACTCTCATGAGACCCCACCCATAGAGCTGTGCCTTGATTTGGGGTCTCCAGCATTAAGGACATGGATCTACTGGAACAAGTCCAGAGGAGCCATAAAGATGCTCCAAGGAGCTCCTCTGCTCTTGGGACAGGCTGGGAGAGCTGGGGGTGCACACCTGGAGAAGGGAAGGCTCCAGGAAGATCTTGGAGTCCCTTCCAGGGCCTGAGGGAACTCCAGGAGAGCTAGAGAGGGACAGGGGACAAGGATGTGCAGTGATCAGACAAGGGCCTGACCAGAACACAGCCACCAGAAAATGCAAAGCAGAAGAAGAACAGACCAAACACAAAATTATCTTCCTTTCCTTTCCTTTCCTTTCCTTTCCTTTCCTTTCCTTTCCTTTCCTTTCCTTTCCTTTCCTTTCCTTTCCTTTCCTTTCCTTTCCTTTCCTTTCCTTCCCTTCCCTTCCCTTCCCTNCTTTCCTTTCCTTTCCTTTCCTTTCCTTTCCTTTCCTTTCCTTTCCTTTCCTTTCCTTTCCTTTCCTTTCCTTTCCTTCCCTTCCCTTCCCTTCCCTTCCCTTCCCACCTATTTTATTTATTTTATTATTTAATTTTTTAATTATTCACCACTTTCTGTATTAGAAGAGAAAATTAACTTCTTTATTTTACTACTCCTCCTCTTCAAACACTTCCTAAAAGTGGGGGGCGATCCTAACCTGTCTGAATCCACAGCTGATGCGAGTGATGACAAAAAAAGACATTGAGGGGCTGGACATGGGTGTCCAGAGAAGGGAACAGAGCTGGGGAAGGGTCTGAAGCAGCTGAGGGAGCTGGGAAGGGGCTCAGTCTGGAGGAAAGGAGGCTCAGGGGGAATTTCTGGCTCTGCACAATTCCCTGACACGAGGGGACAGCCAGGGGGGTGGATGAATATCTTGTCCCAGGTAACGGGATAGGATTAAAGGAAACGGCCTCAAGCTCAGCCAGGCGAGGTTTAGATTGGATATTAGAAACAATTTCCCCACCAAAAGTTCAGTGGTGGGTTTGGCAGTGCCAGGTTAACAGTTGGACCTGATCATTTTAGTGCTTTTTTCCCAGCCTAAGGCATTCTATAGTAACTTAGGAAAAAAACAGTGGGGTTTGCCAGCACTTTTCATTTTCCTGAGCTTTATGAGCTGAATGGGCAATGTTGTCCTGTCCCCATGCAGGGAGATGGCTGCAGATTACGGGTGACACATGATCAGCCTGGATGGGAACATGGAAATGAGGGTGGCAGAGCCCTGGGGAGTGAGACTGGGGCTCAGCAGCCCCTGCTTATAAATACTAAACTCTGCCTGTGTGGCACAGAGGGTGAATTGCAGGTCACAGCAAAGATAGGAATCAAAAAGGTTTAAGCTGAGCTCCCAAAGTGCATCTGTTGGAGCCATCTTTGTTAGGACAAGCCTGTCACCTTCAGCGGTTTTTCTTTTTGATCAGGGTGATTTTTGCAGCACACCAGGGACGTAAGGTTCACGTGGTTCACTTCAGACTCCTTTCCACAGCATCTCATTCCAGCAGCAGGGCAAAACCAGAGGTTTTTTGGTGACACCTGTTTGCAAAGCCCAAGATGGAGATTGAGGCAAACTGTGCCCCAGACTCTGCTGATCACAGAGGCTGCACTGCAGCCATCCACTTCTGGGATGGTTGGACAGGGCTTGGGACACCCTGGTGCAGTGGGAAGTGTCCCTGCCCATGGCAGGGGGTCAGAACAAGATGGTTTTAATCTCCCTTCCAACTTGAACCATTCCATGATCCATTCCAGGCACAGCTCTGTGCACTCCCCTGAAGATGAGTTACCACGAGCTACATTTCTAAGCCTCTCACAGGTTTGTTGTCCCACCTGCATTAAAATCCCACCTGCAACAGCATTTTCAGCCACTGAATTAACACAGAGCATTAGAGCCAGACAGTGCTGGAGGTTCAGGGCTGCAGCACAACCAAAACACCCAGGAGAGTTAAATTAAACGATTTCAGTGCCTGAACACCATCTTTCCTCTCGCTATTTTCTGCCTGACAGCCCCCTCTTCTGGGAAGCAGGTTCTGTGCTGGCTGAATGGCTCTCCCTGCTCAGCTCCCATCGGTGCTGAGCAGCAGCAGGGCAAGGGCAGAGCCTCCCAGGGTGTTTAGGCACTGAAATAATTTCCTGCCGTTTCCTGCAGCTGCATTTGGAGGAGGTTGGAGGTTTCTGCATGACCGAGTGCTGCTCAGTCACAGCACCCAGTTATGGGGTACCCTCAAGGGGTGGGGGCAGCTCCCAGCACTGGCACTGGTAAAGCCTGGCAAACTGCTGCTTGGGAGTGCTGGAGTTAAATCTGCACTGTCCTGGCAAGGACTGCCCTAAATGTATGTCCTCAGGTATGTCCCAGCCCTTTCATTTGTTTGAAACACAGGTGAGCCATCAATTTTCTGGAAATCATGTGGTTCAGAACACTTGTGTCCAGCTGGGGACATCTCACAGGCTGTGGGCTGAGAAGGGGGTGAGCAGCTCAGCTGCCCAGGGATGCTGGACAGGGCTGGGGCATCACCTCAGCATCCTTCCCACAAGGGTCCAGGTCCCACCTCCTCCAAAATCCTCATCCTTTGCCCTCTGCAACAGCAGGAGCTCCTCACTTGTGCCTGGCATTGATCTAGTCCTCACTTGAACAAATTAAAGATTGTGCAGCTGGCTCAAGAAATTGTTTTATATTTTAAATGACAAGATTTTTAACTACAAACCACACACAGGGCTTACCTGCCTCCTGGGCTAAAACTCCCCTTTGAAGCCCAAGCAGTGAAGTCATGACAATTTGCTGTCTAATTAGTTCCCTTGTAATGGTTTCCCACTCCAATGGGAATGAAATTTTCCAGTCACTGCCAAGTTTTCTGTGTTTTTCCTTAATGGATCTAGCCCTGCTGCACCTGCTGGGATGTTGAATTACCTTTATGAAGCATGGACAGCAGCAGGGGCTGGGGGATGGATGGAGCTGACCTGACTCTTCAGCCACAGCTGAGAAGGTGGACAGAGGGAGTGTCTGACACCTGCTTGGAGGCAGAAAGGTCCTTCAAGACAGCTCAAAACCCACATCATTTCAGGGACTCCTCAAAGGCAGGGACACCCCAAAGCACTGCTGGCTTTGGAGAGCCCTTCCTGCCCTTCTCCAGTGCCCCTGGTCCATCTGCTTCTGGGGAAGTTTAGCTAAAACTGAAGGAAATTACTCAGGAACATTCCCTAATTGCTGTTTGCCTGCCAGGCTGAAGAAGGCATCAGCTGCCAGCACAGAGAAAGCTTCCAGTCACATGAATCCCATTGATGGTTTCAAGCGTCCTCTTCTGCATCTTTGTTTCTTTAAAGCTTTTCCTTGCTGAGTGTCAGACCTGCTGATGCCAGGGGCTAACACAGCTAATGCTTCCCAGAGAGGATCTGTGAACCTGAAGCTGATAGAGCCAAATCCCAGTTTGGGATGCAGAAAGGTCGGGATCAGTCCTCAGATTCTGTTACCAGGGTCTGACAGGTGGGGCACCTAAATTAGAGGTAAAACTTGGGCTGCATCAAAGGCAAGGCAAGGAGGGGAATTCTTCCTCTCTACTCTGCCCTTGTGAGACTCCACCTGCAGTGCTGTGTCCAGCTCTGGGGCTCCCATCGTGGGAAGGACGTGGAGCAGCTGGAGTGAGTCTAGAGGAGGCCACAAAGATGCTCTGAGGATTGGAGCCCCTTTACTATGGAGAAAAGCTGGAAGAGCTGCAGGTGCTCACCTGAAGAAAAGGCTCTGGGGAGACTTGAGAGCCCCTTCCAGTGCCTAAAGGGGCTCCAGAAGAGCTGGAAAGGGACTTGGGACAAGAATCTCAAGTGACAGGACAAGGGGGAATGGCTGAGAGTGCAGGTTTTGGTGAGGTGGTAGGAGGAAATTCTCCCTGAGGGTGCTGAGGCCCTGGCACAGGGTGCCCAGAGCAGCTGTCCCTGGATCCCTGAAGTGTCCAAGGCCAGGTTGGATGGGGCTTGGAGCAGCCTGGGACAGTGAGAGGTGCCCTGCCAATGGCAGAAGGTTGGAGCTGCGTGATCTTTATTAATCTCTTCACACCCCAACCATCCCAGGATTCCTGTTTTCTACTCCTCTTTAAATGAGTGTTTAAACCCAAGTGAAAACATGGAGAACACTTCCCAACCTTCTAAAGGGAAAGTTTCAAGCCCAGGGATTTCTCTATGAGGTGAGAGCCTGCAAGACAAGGTGTGAGGCCTCCCCTACCTGGGCCAGGGTTTGGTCCCCAAAACCAAAGTCCAATGACAACACAGGGCTTTGAATTCCTCCAGCGCCCAAGGAAGTGAAAGGGTACCTGGCTCTTCTCCCACCTGCTCAGGGCAGTCTCTGGTTTCAGCCCTTGCTGCCAGAAGACATTGAATGAAAAATCAACCCTGCCAGCTCTTTGCTGCTCACTCCCTCAGCCAAGGAAACCAACCGTGTCCAGCAGGAGCAAGAACTGGAACAGCATTTTCTACCCCTGCTCTGTTCTCCCGTGTGCAAATGCAGAAATACAGACATTAAACACCAAAAAAAAGAGCACTGAAGCCATCTCTTGAAGTGGCTGCTCGAACCAGTGGAGAAAAGAGGACTGGCACTGTGATCACCCCTTCACAAACACAGCCCATGCAACCATCTTCCACCAGAGTCCAGGATGAGCCAAACCTGGATGAAAACCAGTGCATGAACCTGTAACACCCACAGCTCTAAGCAGGAGGGCAAAAATGAGAGAAAAAGGGGGCATTTCTAAAGAAAGCACAAGGCTGCAGGAACACAGAGAGGCAGGCATACACAATGGTGGATTTATTTGTAACACCTTCAGCTCAGGCTGCAATTATTTCAGTTTTTAAAGTTAAATCTGGTCAGCAATCGAGGAAAAGAAAAAAATACCCAAATATTCCCTGTGTGCACGAGGAATGCAGCTCTGAATAATACACGGTAAGTTTATTTCATATTAACATGAACAGTAAAAAGTGGACATTTTGACAGGATTTTACTTCAGGTCCTTTTCTTTATTCCTCTATTGTGTCCTTTTTGCCAGTCTCTTGTCCCTCAAATTGTGGATACTTTGCCTCAACATCAGCCCAGGTGAGATAACCGTTGGCCAGGTCTCGGATGATGGCAGGAAGTTCAGAGATCTGCGGGAAAAGCCACAAAAACATAAGAAACACAAAGTCACCAAAATCAAGCTGGGTATTTGGGGACGTGGGTAATTTTTACATCAGCAGTAGAAAAGGTACAAGATTATCTCCTGGAAGATGATCATTTTTGGGGAGAAAATCATTAATTAGAACACCTTAGATCAATCTGTTATCTGTTATTAGGGTGATCCAGGAGGGAAAAGATCAACCAAAGCATGGTAATGTTGTGCTACAGTATGGGAAGGGCAAAACAAACCAATATACACATCCAAAAGATGCTGTGAGCCAGGATTCAGCTAGGCCCTACCTACTGTAAGATCAGCACAAGAAAAGCTGTAAGTTGCCTTTTCTTTGCTCCTCACAGCACACTGTCATGCTGCAAAGGATCAGCCAGAAAGCTGAAAATTTGCAGAAACTGAAGGAGAGCAAAGTCTCATCTCTGCTGGTTGGCAGTGAGCGGTCACCCAGGTGACAAAGACAGAAGGGTGCCCTGAGGAACTGGCACTGCCTGTTACAGCCAGCCAAACCCCAGCCAGCTCAGCAGCCCCAGGCACTGCAGCTGCTTCTGTGGAGCTACAACTCAGCCTCACAGGTGAGCACCATCTCCTACTGTGCCTGAGGCAAAAAGAGCATCAGGGAGAAAAGACAAACCTGAAAAACCCCCCAAGACTGCAGACCTCCAGCTCTGAGCAGAGGCAGAGCCCACCACAGGCAAGGTTCTGCTATTTCAGTCTGCACTGTGGCCACACTGGCAGAGCGTGCTTAGGGCACACGCAGCTTTGGGGCAGTGGTTCATCAGCTCCTCTGGTGCTGCACAGCAACACCAGCTGCAAGGCAAACCCCAGTGCTCTGCCTTCTGGTGCCTGGGGATTACACCCAGCCCGGCCCTTGAAAGCCAGGCACAACCCAGTCACTGCTTTATCTCAGCAGCCTTCACTTGGAAAGAGCCACTCCAAAGAGCAGCACAATCAGCACAAGGCACGGCTTTCAGGTAAGAGCAACACCTCTGCATGCAAGAAACAAAAGCTTCTGCTCACTTTATCAGCTGGGCCAGCATCTTCTGTCTGACCGCTCTCTGTTCCTGGGCATTTCTCACAACAGCTAAACTGCTACAGAGCTGGAGGCAGCTCTATGGATGCTAGCTTTGCAGAAACTGCAGGCCCATGGCCTCTCAGTCCTGCCTGAGAAGCTAGCCTGGGAACTTCATAGGAGGATTTCAAAACAATCCTCAGAGACAGAAAATAACTGCCAGGTGCTGTTTGTCTGTCTTCTTCTTTTCCTTGCAGGAGAAAGTCAGGGGGGTGGTGAGCCCCACTGACCAATGATAGTGATGTAGCACTTTGCTAACCAATAAGAGTTTCCTTTCTGTATTTTCCACGTATCTGTCTGTAAGACAAGCCTAGAACAATAAACTAGAAAATTCTCGTGTTGTGACTCCCTTGAGAGTCCGTGTCGTTCTTTTCTGCCGTTCCCAATCGGAACGACACAGCTCCCACAAGGATTAGCAGCAGGTCAGAAGCAGCAGGGGAGAAGGAGCAGACGTGGTGCCAGCCCCTGGCAGCGCTCACCTCGGCGCGGATCTGGCGCATGGAGTCGCGGTCGCGCAGCGTGGCCGTGTGCGGGCTGCGGTTCACGGTGTCGAAGTCGATGGTGATGCCGAAGGCGATGCCGATCTCGTCCGTGCGGGCGTAGCGCCGGCCGATGGACCCCGCCGCGTCGTCCACCTTGTGGGAGATGCCGTTCCTGGTCAGTGCTTCGGCTGCAGGGAACAGAGCAGGGGGCGTTACACGGCCCCAGCACAGGCTCCCGGTGCCCCCACCAGCGCCGCCTGTCCTGGGTGCACGCAGCATCTCAGAGTCCCAGGTTTATTCTGACAGAACATCCAACGTTCCGCTCTTGGTAGGAACACAGGGTCAAACCCACCCTGCTCTCTCAGCTCTCCACATTGCACCATAACTCTTGACCCAAGGGCAAAGTCACCAAGTTTTTCCCCTTGTCAGCAGCGCCACGATTCTGCTTTAACTCCAAACCCCAGCCTCGGTGTGCAGGGCACATCCAGCACAGGGAGACAAGGTCCCAGGCAGACTGATGCTGACAGCAAAAGGCATTGTCTGACATGCAACCCCTGTTCCTCCCCTTCATCTGTTCCGTTTTATGGTCCCTATCTTTTACCATGATGCCCCCTACTTGTGGGCAGTTTGACAGAATGGTTGCAGGGTCAGCAGCTCTGGGACAGACTCAATAAATTAGGTGGCCAATAAAAGCAAAGTGAATTTCAATAACAAAACAAAAACCCCCACTGGTCCAGCTTCTCCTAAGCAGTGAGAAAGATTTATTTTTGACACAGAAGGAGAAAAAGCAATGTCTTCTGCACTCCAAACCAACACAGGGAAGGTGGTAGTGGTGGGTTTTTTGGGTACAGCTGAAGAGTTTGATGGATACCCAAAGCTTGTGGATACTCAGCTGGTTCAGGTCAACAACTCTCCCTGTGCACTTTGCAGAGCCACATGATCCCAACGCTATTTTGAGAGACTTCTCTTCCCAGTGCACAGCCCCATCAGAGCCAAAGTGCTTAACACACTTACATAATTCCTTGACAAAAGGCATGAATTCCTGATTCTGGCTCAGAGGAAGAACGGAGCACTTGAACGGTGCTACAACAGCTGGGAAGCTGAAATACTGTGGAAAAAAGGAAAAGCACAAGAACACACTGATGACATGGATGAGGGTATTGAGTCTTTCATTAGTGAATTTACAGATGACACTAAGCTGGGAGTGTGTGTTGTTGGAAGGGAGGAGGGCTCTGAGAGAGACCTGGATGGGTTGGATGGATGGGATCAAGTGGGATGAAGTTTAATAAATCCAAGTGCTGGGTGCTGCATTTTGGCCACAACAACCCCCTGCACCTCTCTAGGCTGGGGATGCTGTGGCTGGACAGTGCCCAGAAAGGGACCTGGGGGTGCTGGTGACAGCAGCTGAACACGAGCCAGCAGTGCCCAGGTGGCCAAGAAGGCCAGTGGCCCCTGGCCTGGATCAGGAATGGTGTGGCCAAAGGAGCAGGGAGCTCATTCTCCCCCTGTGCTCAGCACTGCTGAGGCCACACCTCGAGTGCTGGGTCCAGTTTTGGCCCCTCAGTTTGGGAAGGACCTTGAGACACTTGAGCACATCCAGAGGAGGCAATGAGGCTGGTGAGGGGCTGGGAACACAAACCCTGTGAGGAACCACTGAGGGAGCTGGGGGTGTTTATCCTGGAGAAAAGGAGACTCAGGGGTGAGCTGATCACTCTCCACAGCTCCCTGAAAGGTGGCTGTGGGCAGCTGGGGTCGGTCTCTCTCTACAGGCAGCACTGACAGAACGAGAGGTCACGGCCTCAAGCTGTGCCAAGGGAAATACAGGTTGGACATTAGGAAAAAGGAAAGAATAATAAAGTACTGGAATGTTCTGCCTGGGGAGGTGGTGGAGTCACCATCCCTGGATGTGTTTAACAAAAGACTGGATGTGGCACTCGGTGCCATGGTCTGGTTTAGGGCTGGGTTGGAGTCAATGATCTTGAAGGTCTCTCCTGACCCAGTGATTCTATGAATTCTGTGTAAATACGAGTTTGATGGTCAGATCAGACTTTCAGGAGGTGAGAATAAGCTCTGACTGAGGTTGGAGACAGGGTGAATATTCTGGGGGAGTCTCTGGCCTACTCTAAGACATCAGCAGTGACATCTCACACCACTGGAGCAGGACTGGTTTTCTTCAGCCTCCACTCCCCCTTATCTCCTGACAGCTAAATGTTACCTCCTACCACAATAGGTCTATTAGAGCACTCTTGAAAAATTTTAACCTCATCTGAATTACAGAAAAAATAAGGGTGGAGGTGTCTTACCAGGAGATTTAGTCTTATGAACAGTCTAAACCAAACTTCCTGTTTGAAACTCCACACACATGGAGCATATGCAGCAAAAAGGTTTTCAGAACCCTTCACAGACACCCTCAGAAAATAAAAATATCCCAGAAGTGAGGGAAAAATAATAAAATCTTTCCTGGAAATCAGCAAGCTATAAAAGGGACAGAAGCAATGCATGTGAGATGTACCACAATATAAAGCAGCCCAGGCTACATAAAAAGTAAAGGGGTACTAGAAGGAAGGTGAATCCAGTATTTTCTACTTCAGGAGTTTGGGACTCAAAGTCAACTGTGTCCTAACTCTGGGCTCCTGAACCTTGTTCCCCCAGTCATAGACACCCTATGGATCCCAGAGACACCAAGAAGTGCTTTTATTACGTTATATTTCTTTTTTATGAACACAGTCCAGGAGCCAGGAACAACAAGCAGGAAGCAGCACCAAGTTTCCAACCAGCCCCTCATGGGCCACCAGCAATGGCACAGAGCACCACGTCTGGGCACTGGCTGGAGGAAGCTCTCTATGTAACAAACCCTTCCCTCTGGCCCCTGCTACAACAAAGCTTCAGGCCAAGCTTTTAGGGATGTCCAGAACCAGAGAAGGCTGAATTTCACAGGGGACTGAGCAAACGTTGTCCATCCTGCTGCACACAAGTATGATTCCAGGAAAAGCAGCAGAAAGAAAAGAAATTGAACACTGAAGATATGCCTTTCTCTGAGCAATGGAACACTGCCAAGTGTGGGTCCAGAAGGAGGAATTTCTCACCTCCTTGCCAGTAATCCAGCAAGAGCCTCAAGCACACATGGCCTCAGAATGCTCTCATGTAAAAATGACATGTACTCTGGCAAAACAGCAATTCCACAGCCCACCTGGGCTTTGCCATCTCTACAAGGCATTGTGCAGTGTTGTTTTAGCCCTCTCCTGGATGTCAGGGGAAGGCAGGTGCCTGCAGCTGCCACAGCCTCAGAGACACTCACCGTTCTCTGCTCGTCTCCTTCCCGGATGCGGAATGTGTGCTCAAACACTGTGTACATGATCCTTCCAATGCCAAACGAGGGCTCAATGACATTTGGGATGATTTCTTCCACTGGAACACAAATAACATACATCACCATTAAAAATGTGTTTGGACACAAGAAAAGGATGTGGATGCTGGTGCTTTCTGCTCAGAAGTCTGGTTACGTGTAGATGAGTACACGGAAATAAGAGATTAAACATTTCTGCTCTAAACACAAATACCTGAAATAGAGATTTGGACTTAGCTCATGTACATATTTAGGCTGTAAAAAACAACTCAGGGCCCTTTTTCTGGCTTCTTTGAGGCACTAAATCCATGCATTTTGGAAAGTTTCCTTCTAGCCCCATTTTCTGTATCAGGAGAAAAACTCTGTGGAGATGCAGTCACTGACTTTCCAAAAACCTTCCTACTCTTAAATTTCAAGGAAATTACATTTGGCATTTTTCCTATGCTGTGTTACAATATTACAGGACAAAGCTACCAATAAAGTTGATACTCAAAGTGTATCCTGATGATGATGAAACAACAAAGACTCAAATTTACCATGTAATGTTTTCTGAAATCTCTTCACAGTAACCATGTCCTTTGTTAATAGAAAAGTTTTCCCTTCAGTTTCAACAGTGAATTCCCTGCAAAGGAAAAAGAAATAATTTAAAAGCTAAGGCAGTAAACAAGTGTTGTTTCCTTAATTGCATCACTTGGTTGACTCTGAGACTGGGATTACAGGAGCCAGGGAAAACCCCAGAGACGAAAGAAATGTGTAGCACACCCATTAAAAGAAATTTACATTAATAATAAAATTACTACATGTACACTAAAAGCAACCATTTTCAGAATCACAGTGAATTTAGCTGTGGTTAACAGCCTGAAGCAAAGTCAAATGGGAAACTCTCAGGATGAAGCCTATACAGCATAGAGAAAAAGGGAAGCACACAAAGCAGGCACTGGACTATCAATAAAACCAGGAATATTGCTTGTAACTCATCTATTGAACCATTTCAGGGAGATTCTGGCTGGACTACAGTTTCTTCTCTGCAACAATTTCTCTGCCCATTTTGAGTGCTACTATTTTTTTCTACATTTTCACATTCATAGAGATGTGAAAGAAATAAATTTTAGCTCAGGGGAAAGAAAGAAAGATGTAAATGTTACCATTCTTTAATGTATTCATTGATCCTACACCTTGCACCATTTCAACCAGGAAATTAAGTTTATTTTTTTGTTACTGCACCATTAGCTTTCTCCTAACACAGACAACAGCTGTTGGCCTGCTTTAGCCAAATCTATGACAAATATGACAAGTGTAAAGACTTCTCATATTTTCAGTTCCTGCAGGTGTTGTTAGGAAGGCAGGTCAGAGAAAATCATACAAATTGCTGCCACAGTAAATCAAAGGCTGAAAAAGATCCTAAAGCAGCTCACTGAACACTGGAGGATACAGAGGCAAGTTTTGCTTCTCATTTAACTATTTTGTTCCATTGGTCACAGAATTATTTTATTAAAGTTTTAAGTCAGTCCTGGTTCACTCTCAAACCAGAGGGGTGAAGATGGCAAACAATTCTCATTTCACTGAACTCTGGGATGAGTTTCTCTTCTGGGATGATCCTACTAAAGCCAGCAGCTCATTCCCACACAGACAAACAAATATTTATGTGCATACACCCAGAGATATGTTGATGGGTGACCAGCAATGCCTGGTGAGAAGGACAGCACTCAGATGACCCACACAGCCTGCTCTCATAAGGAAACTGGTTTCAGGTGGCTCAAATAAATGCAGCAGCCCTTTGGAGGCCACATCAGGGTGTCAGAGGAAGGTACCACACACAGAGCCAGCTCACCCTTTCTCGTTGAGCAGCTGCTCCATGTCACTGATGTAGCACTCATCACACATGGAAAGGTATTCCATCACCACCTTGGCATCCTTCTTGTAAGCTTTGCCAATGGCTCCCTTATTTGCCTCAAACTGAACAATGTTGACTGTTCTGTACAAGGCAGTTAAGGAGCCAGTAAGGACAGAAAGCAGGGCCTGGTTCCTTCATTATGTCAAAGTTAATTGCTACACAACACAAAAACATCTCCACTACTGGATGAAGGAACTTCCCTCTGAGAGAGGAAAGTAACAAATGCTCAGTTCTTTCCAGGTCACTTCCCAAAGTGATGCTGGCTTGTAGTTGAAGGTTTCCCTGATAAATATACAGGAGCAACTTGAAATACATCTGTGCAGATCTCCAAGACATCTCCCTGTCCAATCCCTTTCCACTTGAGGAGAAGCTGAAAGGAGCTGAGGTTTATTCTGAAAGGATATAGGTTCTTTGAGATGCTTCTCAGCTATGAGAGGAACTTTGGTGGCGCGGGCATGGCAGGAAAGGTCATAGCAGGAGCGATCAGCACAGCCAACGATCTCAATCCAACCCTGAAAAAACAAAACTGGAAGCTTTCACCAACTCACTTTTTTGTCCACTTAACCATCAAATATGTTTATTCACCCTTAAGCCCTCCCTGCTCCCATGACTGTTTTTTCTACATAATTAGCTCTGTTACAATAAGCAGCCCTCCCTCACCAGTTGCTCCCTCATTTGAGTGATTCCATTTGTTTCCAGAGGAAATGATCAGTCATCTACCCAGTGTCTGTGCTCAGGGCCAGCTTTTCCACATGGCTTGGCAGAGCACAGCCCTGTGCCAACAGCTCAGGCTGGGGCCAGAGCACACAGTCCTATCACTCACATGCCACAGGCACACAAGGCATCATGTCCCCAGGGCTCCACTTGGCCATGGGACACACAGAGCAGGCAATCAGCCACACTGGAATGGCCAAAAGCCTGGCTTAGGAGCTGCTACAACACAGATCACATGGCAAGAGAAGCTCTTAATTCGGTATTTCAGCATGTGTGGCAAGGAGGAATCTCAGAGCACCGTTCACACTGGATTGGTGAAGCAGCAAATACAGCCTCCCTCTGGATTTCCTGACAGACAATCCCCTGAAAGACAAGGCTCAGCAGCTGCTTCCCACTCACTGTCACATCAGTGTGGGATGCACAGGCAGCCAGATGTTGTGTGGTTTTCCAAGCTGGATATAGCAGGGTATCAGAAAAGGTGCGTGAACAGAAACAATCCCTGTGCTTGACAATTGTGGTGTTCCAAGGTATTCTGGAAGACTTTTACAGAAATTAAGCCAGTAGGTTGTTACAGCTGCTTCTCAGAAAACACAGAATACAGGTTTATTGTTCAACCTGGAGAAGAGAAGGCTCTTCCAGTCCCCAAATGGGCTTCAGTAGCTGGAAGGAGACTTTGGACAAAGACATGGAGTGACAGCACAAGGGGGAATGGCTTTAAACCAAAAGATGGCAGGTTTAGATTAGACATTAATAAGAAATTCTTCCCTCTGAGGGAGGTGAGGCCCTGGCACAGGCTGCCCAGAGCAGCTGTGGCTGCCCCATCCCTGCAAGTGTCCAAGGCAAGGCTGGATGGGGCTTGGACCAACCTGGGATAGTGGAAGGTGTCCCTGCCCATGGGAGGTGGGCTGGATCTTTAAAATCCCTTAACCCACACCATTGTATGCAGTAAATTTATAGAATGGATTTTAAGCTACTCAGACCATTTCCCTTCTTAAAACTGAGTGCTGTAAGCTGATACAAACATTTTTGGTTAGAGTTAAGTAACAAACCAAAGCATGGTCCAGCTCCCAAGGTGGTGTTCCTTTCACACCCTGGGATTGCTGTGCTCACTCCTGGGTTAGGCTGTTGGACACCCCCTCTGTGAGCACTGTCCTCATCATCATGACAAGGCTTGCAAAGAAAGCTGAATAATCTTATTTACATGGTGTGGCCCATGCATGTTCAGTTTTGGGCTGGCTGGAAAGAGGCTGTGAACTTGTGGAAGTCAGCTATGGACATTCAGAGGAAGACATGCCTTCAGTCACTTCTCCAGGTCTTTTCTATATGAAGACAAATCACTCATCTGAGCTGCAGGTTTGTTTCTTCCCTAATCTTAAGTTTGGTAGAATTTTACTGGCTGCTATTCCTCTAACGTGCTGTAACAAAACATCACTAGTGATAAGTCTAAATCTAAACAACAATAAATGAGGGAAAAAAAGGCATTCAACAAGGTTTGGATGATAAAGCTCTTAATGACTCAGCAGGAAGATGATAACAAATCCTGGAGGAATTTTTCTTCCAGCACCAGCTGTCTGAACTGGCAGGAGTGAACTCATTTCTCACAGCATGGAAGAGGGAAAGGAAGAGCAAGCATTCAAGCAGGAAGCAATCTGCCCTGGAATAACACCTCCAGCAAAACAAATCCTTCCCCACTGCTGTTACAGAAGTTACAGTCTTTGGAAAGCACCAGGACTCAGTTTCCTTTAACTCCAGATGAAATTTGACCAGTGAAGTGTCCCCAGGCTACTTTAGGCTCCAGAAAAGGAGCCTGGACCTACCAAAGCAGCATGAGCAGCTCATAAACTTTGTGCAGGGAGCTCACCCTCCTCTTGGTCCTGGACTCAGAATATTTCAACTGCACTACGTGTGTTCAGACCAACATGGAGCCAAGCCAGATGCATCAGACTCACAGCCCTAACTTTAAAAAACAGAAATAAACAAGGGCTTCCCCTTGCTGTTTCCACTTTGCCCACTTACATAGGAGGTTTTGGACTCTGCATCCCAGCAGTCACAGGCATAATGAGCCATCTCATTCTCCATGTGCTGTCGGAAGCGCAGCTTCTCCGGGGAGACGCCGACCTTCGTGAGGAAGAGGTAGATTCTGCCGATGAAGTAACCGAGAACCGAGTTATTGATCACACCCTGCAGGGAGAAAAAGCAGGAAGAAAACACCCACATGAATTCCTAAGGAAGCAAAGTCATGATTTGTTGAACTTCTGCAGGCAACCTGACACGTTACAGATAGAACTTGTGGTTAAGTTCTGGCTCCTCTGAAGCTGTTACATCTCTTCAGATTCACCTCCTGCCACTGGCATCATCTCCATCTGACCCAAACAGTGAGATACTGTCACTGCAGGACTCATCACCCACTGGCTCTGAGGATCACCTACTTGTAAATACCCCACTGTATGCAGCAGTGCAGTCACTGGCCTTACAACAGCTGCACCCTACAGTTCACAGCTGCAATACAACAGAGGGGTGGTGTTCTCTTTTTCTTTTTTTTTGGCTCTTGTTTTTGGGGCTTTTTGCTTTGTTTATGTTTTTTAAAGGTAGTGTTTTGGTGGTTTTTTGATTTTTTTTTCTTCATTTGGGCATTGGAGGAAACGGGGTGGAGGAGGTTGGTAAATCAACCCATTCATAATTAGATGAATCAGGTAGTGATTTATCTAATTATGCAAGCCACATACTCATGGGGGCCAGCAGCTGGATATGAGATTCCCAGATACTGCTTGTGTTAATATTCCTTACTGTCCCTCTTCACTAGCTAAGTATGAAGTTTAGCTTCCAACCCCTACCCCAGCACTCCTTGCTACCACCTGCACTCTTCTGGTAGCAAGGCCCAGATCTCAGTCTCACTGATTCACTGAAGAGAATCTATTCATAAACCTGGGACCAACACAACACAAGCTTTGTGTAAGCCCAGCACAGGGAGCTGATCCATGCCCTCAGTCCTGGATTCGGAATATTTCAACTGCGCTACGTGTGCTCAGACCAACAGGGGACTGGACATACACATCACTCAGAGCCCCAGTTTTAAAAAGCCAGTTTGTAACTTGGCCTTGAGAGCAATGCTGCAGGGAGCAAGCTCAGTGTGCTGTGAGAGGAAGGTTACCTGCTGGACAGCGTCTCCCAGCCGCATGACGTGCGCAGACTGCCCGCTGACCTGGGCCTTGGCCGAGTACAGGAGGATGTTGAGATCTGCCACGTTCTGAAACTTGGGGTGGTTTTTCTCACTGGGGTCCACAAAGTGCTCAATTTCTGCCATGGTGAATTCCCTAGTGAAAACAAATGTACACACATTAAATATTTTATGTGTTAGACCCTAATAAGCCATTGTGCTTCTCAAAGCAAGCCAGTAATTTAAAATCATATGCAGACCCAGCCAGGACAATGTGCTGACTAGAACATGAACTAATCTCATCACTGGATTTAGTTTCATTTTTAAATTCCTAACAGAACATATTCATCTAGAGCTCTCCAGGCCATGGTTAACACCACTGTGAATCAGAGCAGAGAACACCACCTTTGGAAGTACTTCCACAAGTTCTCTAGAGTTTTTCCAGATTTCTGTGCCCATATTAAAAGCAGTTGCTCCTTACAGGGTCTGATGATTAAATCTGCAGCTTTAACTCATGTCAGAGGTGCCAAAAATAAGCAGGTGAGGTAATAATTTCCTGAAGATAATGATACTGCAGCACACAGCAATGGCATGAATTCTGTTTTAAGAACTTGTCTTTAATATATCTTTACTCAGAGATTGATTCTGAGCCTTCTTGCTTGAAATCACTTTCCACTGAATTAGCTCATTATCAAGAACCTTTAAAAAAGCTCTAGGTAATCATTAACTGTAAATCACAGCCATCAGGGTGTAATTTGCTGTGATTGCATAATAACAGTCTCCAATATATGTGCCACAAGCATATCATTTATATTTGACTGAAAATTATTTCCATGAGAGAAGTTCTCATTTCCAGATGAGCAAAACAGAACAGGAAGATTGAGGAAATTCCTGAGTTCCCTCTGTGCTAAGGAAGCTACGGCCTCTCAGTGATATTTATGGCACCACAAAATAATCAATTACCACGTTTACAACATGTACTCTGCCTGTGCACGGGAGCTCTTGTTCCAAATTGTATGGAAGAGATTTCCAAATAGGATAGATCAGTTTAAATACAGAGATTATCCCTAGTGAAAGGCAATAATCACTTTTATCCAAAGACAGAACTGAAAGTAATTTCCAATAACCCTGAGCTTTCCAGCTTGTCTGATCTTGCAACACAAACACTGGTCCTGAGTCAGGAAATCTCCCAACTTCCTCTCTGGAGCAAGTTGTAGAACTGCAGAATCTGCAGGACTGAGACAAGGAAATATTGCTGCAAGGTCAATCACGTTTTGATTTCAGTTTCAAAAATTGCACAAACATAATTAAATAAAATCTAAACTGTGAGTCTCATCAAGCACATAATCAGAATTCCTCTGGGAGAAAGCACTAAAGTGAAACCCTGCACAAATCCTGGAACAAAACAAAGATGCTCCCTGCTGAAAGAGGATGTTGGCAGTACCTCACTCTGATAAGGCCGGAGCGGGGTGAGATCTCATTCCTGAAGGAATTTCCAATCTGGGCAGCAGCAAAAGGCAATTTGCCTTGGTTAAACTCCAGCAGACGTTTGAAGTTGAGGAATATTCCCTGTGCAGTTTCTGGCCTCAGATAGCTGAAAGGAGATGGGTGAAAGGTAAAATCAGGAAGATTTCAGGGTGGGGAAAGCAGGGAGAAAGCCAAAGTGGCTACAAAATTTACAGGTGAAAATTTTTCTCTTGAGACTTTTAATTCCAGACCAAAAAAAAAAACAATTAAGTAATAGACTGAAGGAGAAAAAACTTCGCCTCCTTCCTCAAACAGGTATCCTGAAGTAGTTTTTCTACAGCCATGAAGTCACTGACAGTTGGAGACCAGCATAAACTGGCTTTATGGAAACTATTCCAACCAGTAAGGGCACAGCTGGATCTGTATTATGGGTGCTTTAAGTATTTTCATGATTCTCCAACAGCCCCTTCTTTCTCCTGCCTTTCCCCAAGACTCCAAGGAATGCTACAGGAGGCTGGGACTGACATGCAAGGCAAGGCTACTCCAGAGATTTCATTTTTATTCCAAATAATCTCTAAAGCAAGGAGAGTGTGAGCAGGATGAAATTAGCACCTACCCAGGCATGTTTCCTCCAGGCCCAATGGAGGTCTTGAACATCAGATTGAAAGAAACAGGAGGGGACAGGTCATTCCCAGTGACAGGGGACTTCACATTGTAGTTCACAAAGAGATCTGCAAGCTCTTGCTGGCCATAATTGTCCAACTAATATCAAAACACAGGAGAATTATTTTAATTACTAGACAAGATAACAGGAATGAATGTCCTCTTTATCTTTTACTGAGCGTGATCCACAGCTCTGAATCACCTGCCCAAAATATTCCCTTCTAACCTGAATTTTCAAGCAAGCTGAAGTTTGAACTAGTGATACAAGAATACACTTTGCACATTTGCAAACCCATTTTAGTAACAGGTCTGGGATTTATCATACCACAGGAAGTCTGAGCTTAAGAGTGGGTGTAAAGCACAAGAAAAATCACTGGGACTGCACCACCACCCACCAGAACAGATTCTTTTGAACAGATCCAGCTAAAACATGGGGAGGTCTGTGCTGGGAGCAAAATAATAAGAAATACAGCAATGAGAGAGAAGAAATCTAAAATTTCTGCAGGGTTTTGTTTGCACTCCTTTCTCTTTCTTATGCTGATTGAAACACAATATTCAAGCTATGCATCAGATGCCCTTTCAGAGCTGTTCTGCATTTGTAGTTGTCATGATCTTTCATTTACCAGGGAAAAAAATCCAAAAACAGGATATAAAAACACTTTATTAATAGAGAGGTTTCCCTAAAGGATGGTGAAAGTTCTGTGCTGTAGTGTGGAAAACCTAGTGACAGCTGCTCAGTGATGCAAAACATTGACAAAAAGAGTTTCTGGAAGGAAACATTTGTTCAATGCATGACTTTGGAAGCATTTATCCTAGAAGTCATGAGAACAAACATTAAAAACAAAATAAAACAAAAAAAAAATAAAGGCAAACGTTTGTACAGTTGTTCAGGAATGTCAGCCTGAGCACCAACTATTCCCATGGTAAACACAGGAAAAATCTTTGTGGGGTGCCAGAGACAGAGGAACAAATCCCCAGTGCCTCAAAGCCAAGACAATTTCAGAACAAAGCAAATGAGTGCTAAGCTGACTCAAAAAAAAACCCTGACAAAATTTGTGATCCATCTCTGTTGCTTTGTATGACAATCCCACAGAAGGGACTGACAAATGTAAAAGCTTTCTGCCAGGGTATGAAGTGAAACAGAACAGACCATTTCCAAGACTGAGCTTCAGCCCTCTCAACCCAACACTCAAGAGATTCATTAACATAATAGCAGCAACTCTCCAAAACAGTGAGGGAGATGTGATTCACCAGCAAGCTCAGAGTATTTAGTAACAATTAAATTTTCAGTGTTTGAGAGGCTCTCTGGGGTAAAGACTTCTGAGATCCTTCAGGAAGAGAAAAGGATCACTGCCTCTGGAGTCTATCACACACCCCTCTCCCCGAAGCAGCACCCACCTGTGTTAGAACATTTTCCATTTCTGCCTTTTTCTCTGCTGTGCACTTCTTGTCAGACATCAGTTTCTGCAGGTGAGCTGTAAGAAAAGTTGGTCATGAGTTTATAGTCCAATTCCACCACTGACCCCAGCATAAAACAGCTCAGAAGGATCCCCCAGCATGAGTTTAGTGATGTCCACAACTTGTCCTGACAGTGTCCACCAGGGTAATTCCAGTCATGGCCTCAGGGCAGTGCTGACCTCCAGTTCAGTGTACTGGTGTGCCACAGGAAAAACAACACATTCTTATCCAGTTCCTTTCCAATATTATTTCTCTAAACTCAAGCAATGGCTTTGTAGCCCTCTTCTTGATTTCTAATACACAGACTAGAAATGAAATATCTGATCCCAAGCAGCAAGGCTGGTTTTATTCAGAGAGGCAGGTACAGAGCTGGTACCGTGGGGCTGGACTGCATTCCACGTTACAGCACAACATCCTCCCTGACACACAAAGGTACACAGTGATGCCAGGACTTCCCACTCTTGTTTGAAAAAAGCAATTTGACTTTTTAGTCAGTAACAGCTCAGTTTGGCAGTAACAGCAGGTGGCTGCTCACAAGGAGGGGCTGCAGAACACAGGGACATGCTTGTTGATGAGGCTGCTCACCAAAGGAGGCAGAGGTTGGATGGGCTTCTTTTGAGGGTTTTTTTTGGACAAAAAAAAATCTTGATGAAAATCATGAAAACTGCTTTAATGCCAATATAGATTGTTCTGCATACTTGAATTATTTCAAGGAAAAGGCTCAAAAACCAGAGAGCACAACTCACTTAAGCAGAATGGAACAGTCCTTCCATTCACAGTGGAGCTGTACATGAGAAAGTTTACAGACTTCTTATTTCTGAGATTCCTTCGTGTGACCTTCTTGGTTTGTTTTTCCAAACAAATTTTAATAACCAGGAAGTGTCAGGACTTTGCAAATCAAAGAAATGCCTGAGGCCTATTTCTAAATTAAACACATTAAAGTCACCCACTGCCACATAATTGACCTCTCACAGAAAAAACATACTCTGACCCATCACAATAAATTGTTTCTCAGTACTTAAAAAAGCAACTGAAATTCAAGAAAACTAAGATCAGAATGCAGTGGAGTACACGTAGTGGTTTAGGTTTGCTGATTTGAGTTTTTTGATTAATGTATTAAATAATGTGGGTTTAGTGCTGGTTAAAATTACTAGTATACTAATTTATTATTATTCCTGTATGGAATCTTGTTATATAGGGAATCCTTGGCTTAGTAATCTTAGTAATCTTTCACAGCCTGATGACATTGGATTTTATAAAAAGGGACAAAATAGTGTTTTCACCCGAGATCCTGAACCTCATTTAAGACACTCACAGAACCTACAAGATTTTTGGTATGGTATGATTAATTAGCTGCAAACACAAGTATGAAAGACTGGCTACACCAGCAGGCTTTCCTTGAGAAAGATTCTCTTTCCCAGTGCTTGTACCACTGCAGGAAATCCCCAGGCCCACCTAGCTTGGAACAAAATCAAACCTTTTAAGAGATGATCAGCACGAAAACATTCCCCGTTCTTCACATCTTTCACCATGAAGTCAGCAAACTTGTCTACATGGCCAGAAGTCCTAGAAGAGGTGACAGACAACAAGGAATGTGACAGTTGCCACCAGACAGCCCCAGGTCTGTGCGATTTTAGTGGACAGACCTTTATCAAAGTGAAATCCTTCAAAAATTGCAGGCTCACTCCTGCTTCAGATTACAGAGTTCACGTTAAGCAGCATCACCCCTCAGAAAATATGATCTGTGGGAAGCATCAATACATCTAAATCTTAAAATGTGTCACAAAGAGGACACTTAATGCATTCAGGAACTGCATTGTGATCAAAACTAGACACAGTTGCAGTAGTGAGGAGTAACCACTAATTCAGGTGGAGATATTCCCAGTATTTTATATCTCAGCTGCATGAAAGCTTCTGCCCTTTTTCTTGTCTTCTTGATCTTTTAGAAAAAGGAATAATGACAATTTCTTACCTAATGGGAGTGTTAGGAGGCTTTGAACTCTCAAATGTGAGTACCACTGCCTTCCCTGACTTACGAAACAGCAGCTTTTGACACTGACCTGTGCACTGGTACCTAATTATGGTATGAAATTAGGTGACCCAGACTCAAGATCCCTGTGGGTAATTTTACAGAACACTATAAAAAGCACCTATGACCAGAAATTAAATGCTGCAGGTTAAAAAAACAAAACAAAAACACCCAACAGGCCCAAAGTCATACAGACCACTGACTCCTGAGAAGAGGAAAAGGTAAAAAAGAAGTGTGAGATTGTATAAAGCTTCACTGTTTGGAGGAGATGCCTTCCCTTCTCAGAATTTCCATCAGTTGGTTTCCTTTTATGAGCATGAAGCACAGTCCAGCTGCAGAGTACTGAGGCATCAGTTAGTGACAGAAACTAAAACAGATAAACTCCTGCAACCAACAACCCTAAAAACTACATTCCCTCCACCAATGGACACAATGGACTCTGTTTTGTGGAAAGTTTTGTGGGAGCAGTCTATGTGAAGGAGGAGTCTGAATACAGAAGTCATCATGCACCACCTGAAGCAGTGTTATTGTCAGTAATAGATAACACGTATCTGCAAATCACCAATGTAGCTGCAAAGATTAACAAAAAACAACTCAAAGTACTTAATTTAGCATCTAAGGTGAAAGAGCAGTAATGATAGAGGCACTGTGCTGCTCATATCAGCCATCTGAAGAGGTTTAACAGCCACATTTATTCACCTGTGCCATAAGGTTCATTGGAAAAGGTTCTGAAGTTCACAGTGAGTTTAAGCACTGTTGGTCCCCTTGTGGGCCATTCACTTAAGAGTTGGAATCCATGATTCTTGTGGGTCCCTTCCACCTCAGAATATTCTGTGATTAATTTGCCAAGAGAAGCTCAGGTAGAGATGAATGGTTATAAATAATAAATAAGCTGATGATCTCCTTAAGCCCCAAACACCCTATCCTCAGCAAAGAAGCCATCTTCTACCAATGTAATGCTCAGGACATGCATCCTGGAGGCCACATCTCCATTCAGAGAGCACAAGACAAAAACTGAGCCCCATTCCAACCCAAACACTTCAAGAAGGGAGAATTCTTGAAAGGCTTACAGACTCAAGCAGGAAAGTTTAAAGCAAACTTCTAAAAAATAATCTTGGATGCCACATTAATATAACACTGCTAGAGTGCAGCATTTCACCCAGCTAGAAAGACCAGAATATTAAAGGGATTGAAATCTACATTTCTTCAAACCCATACCTCCATAAATAGAAAAGGCTTGGTCATAGAAAAACCTCCTTTTGAGAGTGTCTTCCATCTTAACTCTGTCCACAATGTCATCTTTGGGCTGTAAGGCCAGCTCCTGTAAGTCAGGCAAAACAAAAGCAGTTAATAGCTCCTGATTCTGGCAGGAGGAGAAATCCTCTTCACCCACCAGAGTCAAAAGTCTGCAAAGACCACTTTGAAGAAGAGGTATCCTGTCAACATCCTTATTTTCCAAAGAAGAATCTTCCCACTGAGATTCAAGTGCTCGATTATGAACATCCTTGTCTGAATCCAGCATTTTAGACACTTGACATGGACTCATGACCTATCTTTCCCTGAGCAAGTTATCCTCAGCTTTCCTCACAATCCCTGTAAAAAAATTCCAATTTCCAAAGCAGTTCTGACCTTCTTCCCTCTCCTGACTATGAAAAGAGCTTCAAGTGAGCATCTCAGACTGCACATATCTAATTCTTGGCATATATAAACCTTTCAGTAAGGTGTTCCTCACATGAAAGAATTTTGACTGTGAAGATTACAAGCACCATCATCCTCATGCTCTGCCAAAGGAATAATTTTAGGTACTTGTGCAAGGAAAATCTATTTGTAAAATTTAGGTCTGCACTCAGAAAACTTAAGAGTGCCTTAATGCCCTGACAAGATACTGTGAAAATGTTTAAGAGCAGATTCACTATTTTATCTGAAAACCTGTGATTTTTGCAATCTAATCCATTAGTGAGATCAACAGACTTCAAAGATTTCCTTCAAGGAAGCTGTTTTGATAATTAAGACAGAGCTAAATCCAGAAGTTCAATAAATTCAGATCCTCCTAAGTGTCTCAGACTATCAATTTGAAAAGCCTTTGGGTAACAAGAAGTATTGTGTGTCCATTTATTTAGTTCCCCTTTTCTATCATCAACAAATAAATGTGGTCTTATTTTAAAAGCAGTGTACTCTGTGTACTCAACTACTCCACCCTTCTCAAAGCTTCAAATTCAGAGATGCTCTGACATCTTCAAGCAGGAACCACAGGGCCTGAGAACCACCATAGCTGCCTTCCCCAAAAGGTGGAAGGGATTCTGATCCTTGCTGGGAACAGCACCAGGACAGAAACACCCCCAGTACTGGAGTGCTGCGCTCCCAAGGGCAGATGCTGCGTTTGCAAGGTCACCCTTGCACTGACAGCCCACACAAATTGTGTAAGTGCTAAGAAACCTCCCCACTGCATCCTACAGGCACCCTCCAACACAGAGGTGGGGCTCACAGGGACTGGTGCCACCCACAGGAATACCAGGACCCCTCACCTGCCTGGTGACATCCACAGGGACTCCAGGACCCCTCACCTGCCTGGTGACACCCACAGGGACTCCAGGACCCCTCACCTGCCTGGTGACACCCACAGGGATACCAGGACCCCTCACCTGCCTGGTGACATCCCCCCAAGCTTCTGAGAAAATGACATTTTCTTGGTTCAGTGTGTGTAAACAGGCAGCCACAAGGCCAGACCTGGCAGAGAGCAGCACCTGTTCATCCCACGTGACTCTGTAGGACAAACAGGGTCAATGGGTTTCAGTTCAGGTGAACTCACATTCTCACAGTCAGGCAGCTGTAAGAAGTGTATTTACTCATTAATTTGTTTATTTTTAAGTGTACCACCCAGGCACAACTACAACTATGTTTACATGAAATAGAAATTAGAAAGAACCTGGGTGAATCTGCACAACTGATTGTTTTTAAGCTTCAAGAGTTTCTTTTTGTTGTTTCAGTCTGGGAAGGGGAGGGGAGCTCACAGGATAAGAGTATTTTACTTCTTTATTGATCTAAAGACAACAAACTTCAAATTCCATCATTTAATTTGCACAAAGACTTTTCAGAGCATGCCTGCATTTAAAAGGAACGCAATTTCACCTCTAAGGCTGAGAAGAGCTGTTCAAACTTCATTTGAAACATTTACAAAGACTTTGTTACTGTAGCAAAATGGGTGATTTCTAAATAAACTCATTCTATGACAGTTCAGGGAATTTCAATGCACAAAGTATCTGAAAATTCACCACAGTTAACAGCATGTGCTCTCACAGCACACAAAAAAAATCTATACAGCAAACAAAGATTAGTGAATATACACTCAATTTCAGCTTTGATTACTGAGCAGCCTGAATGTATTTGTTTCCACACTGATTTAATGCTAACAGAGTTAAGTGTAACAAGTAAAGAATGAAATTGCCACTAGTTGGAAACCTGTAAAAACTACTTCCAGAGTGATTCAGTCTAGGACTGTCTAGACCAAACCTGCAATAAAGAATTAAGAAGAGATTTCAAGGCTTTTCAGACAAAACTGTGGAGCTCAGAATTTAATTTCCAGACTCACCTTTGCTTCTAGGACCCTCTTCCGAGCTTTGAGCTCTGCTACTGCTCTGTCTATGTCAACCTGGGGAGCCTTCTCTTCCTTCAGCTTCCTCACCAACTCTCCCTAGGGGGAAAAGAACATTATAGATTCATTCTTTGCCACAGGTAAGATCTCTCTTTCTTCCAGCTCCCCTGACAATCCAAAAGGAGATTTTTGTCCAGCCTGCACACAGGTCTCCAGAGGCTGTGAGAGAGAAACACGCTTTAAGACTTAGCAGAGTAGACTTCATTAGGGAAATTCAACCACCCCACACAACTGTTAAATCACAGAGCTGCTATTCAATATCCATGTGTAATTATATTCCTCTGTGTACATCATATTTCCACTAATTCCTGGTTTCTGTCTTTGAGGATGCACTTATTATATTTGCAGCCCAATATCTAAGCACAGAAAACACTGCATTTTGAGTAAAAATTGTTATTATTAAAACCAGTTCAGTAACTCTGAGATAGAACAAAGTCAACAGCAACAACAAAAAAATACCCTTTAAAAAAAAAACCCAAAGCCAAATATTTCAGAGCAGCAAAATCCTGCAGTGGGCTCACAGGAGATCTTGACCTGAGTCAAACCAGCACCACCTTGTTACAATTCCACAAAGGTCTCTCTGCCCTGTGGGGACGATTCTCCCCTTTCAGCCCAGGGAAGTGCTCAATCCCAACACACCCAAAAAGGTTCTTTTATGAACATGATCCTTAGCTGTCAAGCCCAGCTTGCTCCTGGAGATAAGTTAACTAAAAGTCTTCCTTTGAGTCCACTCTTCTTCACCAAAACCAGGATCTAGCTTGAATTGCTGAGAAGGACAAAGGTGCTGTGAGGAAAAAAGAGATGCCAAAGCCACCCCAAGTGGGGTATTCTAAAAATGGGATGCTCCAAGTTCAGCATTTTTCTTGTACCTTGCATATCTTGAGGGAAAAAGGAGGAAAAAAAAAAAAAAAAAAAAAAAAAAAAAAAGGAAAAAGCCCCCATAATTCACAGAGAATACAACATTTCCACAATACCAACTTTTCTCCCAAGATTCTGAACTTTCCTGATATAAACATTACAGGTAACTGAGAAAGCAAAGAGAAGAGACTACACAGATTGCCATTCTGTAATCAGATTAGAAAAGATAAAAGTGCTCCAGAGACTGAGGGGTTCAAAGGCTCATTTTATTAATAAAAGGAAGTCTCCAAGGACTGCATTAAAACACACACAAGAAGGAAAAATAAGAATCCTGTCAGGATTAACCCCATCAGTACACAAACAGAACAAATCTGCTGTTTCCTTCCTGTTAACTACTTAAACCAAAACCTGAAAGTTCCACTCTAGGGCTGAGGACTGCAATTGCCATTCCTGGGAAACGTGGCAGAGGGAGGGATCTGAGCTGGTGTTTTTTTCTTTTAAAGTAGAAATCCAAATTGCCTTTGTTGAGCCAGGGGGGTCGGCAGTGGAAAAACATCAAGGCAGCAGCAAAGCAGCTCCTGCTGACTCAACAGAGCCCTCACCCTGCTCACTGCTGAGCATCCAAAAGCAGCACACAGCAACTCTTTGTCTTGACCTATAAGTAAGAGTGCTCAGACATACGCAAGGAGAAGGGAAAAAAAAACCAAAAACAACCCAAACACAACTGAAACAAATAATTACGCCTGCTGACAGGACTCAATCTAATTACAGCTCCGATCTCGAGCCCTGCCCAAGAGGAGGAGTGCACAGCAGCACTCGATGTGGCAAATTTTGCTGCAGCTTTGTCCCACAGACCAGCAGAGCAGGGAGGGATCCACCCCTGGATCACGGCAGCTTATTGCATCAGGCACTGCTGCAGGAAGATAGGCTGCTCCCTCTCCATAGGCTGAGTCCCTTAGGTTTAATTAAACCACTTCTCCTGGAGCTGCCAGACACAGACTCCTGCATCCAAAGGCATCAACCACCCCGATCTTTGTTATCCCCTCCCTTTCCTCCTGTGCAAATATCTCTGGGAATTACTACATCCAGTTGTACAACACAATATGTGTGGCCCCAGCTGGACAATGTTGTTTTTTTTTTCCCCTTGGTGCCCCACATCCCAGTTTAAACCCCTGAAAAGAAGGGGTGCGTTGGTACTCACAGGCAAATGACGGCACCCAGGATTTTAAACTAAATAAATTGGCTGGTTCTAGAGATCATTGCTTTATTTACAAGCAGCTCTCCTGCCAAGGCATTATGCTGTACAGTGATTCATAATAAAAACTCACTGAAGTGCTGGCATAATTAGAGGGCCATAAATCCACTCATTTAATGGGGAAATACACGCACAAATCTGCGAATACAAGGGACACACGCATAGCTAAGGAGAATAATGTGGATTCAGCCACTTAAAGGAGGCACATGGGGGACACACAGGTCTGGCAGGTGGTGAAGAGAGAAAAAGGAACTGCACAAGATCCATTACCGTACACAGCCGGTGTGCCAAGGTTTATTTAGGAAACGAAGAGACAACCAAATCCTTCTCAGGTATGAAGGGTTATAGAGGTAAAAGGAGGGAGATGGGATGAGAATGAGATGCAGCCCCAGCCAAAAGGACACATCACCCACCTAGATTAATGAGAATGATGAAATGGCAAAGGAATTACCATCCCTTACTGCACCAGGCAAATATGCAGCTCCAGAGAACGTCATTTACCCCCGAAACTCAGCTCGGAGGGGACATCACCGCGTGACCCCGAAGGGACGAGGGACACGAGGAGGGGCCCTAGGGCAGGGCACGGGGAGCCAGCCCGGGCACAGCCAGCCCGGGAGGGGACACACAGGTAGGCTGACGCACAGACCCAGCCCTGCCAGGCAGCTCGGGTGGGGAAAGAGCCAAGGGGGGAAACCCGCACGCGATAGCTGTGCCCGAGAGGCCGCTCCGCACC